GTATTGGCAAAGTCGATTATGATATGGATTGAAATCGAGGCTCTTAGTATTAGTATCAGTTAGTATGATTGATCTACCCCGCTTCCCATTAGTTTATTTTTGTCTCGGTCTATTTTTATATATTGTTTACTGGATTATGTATTCCCTTCCCACTTTATCAATTTCCATTTAGACTTTATATTACCTCCTTCCTTCCTTCCTTATATATACGATCCTATCTTTTTTTACGTGATTCGAGTTCGTTTTGTAAATAAATCCCACTTTTTTCAAAGAAATATAATTACTTGTCTTTCAATGTCCTTCATATATATGTTGTTGTTTTCTTACTATTGTTGTGATTTATGTTATGTGGATAGTGCTCTATTTTATTGGATTTTAATATTCCGCTAATAAAAATATATTGTCATCATTCTTTATTCAAACACACTACACACGATATTTGGCTATAAAAGGCAACGACAGGCTTGTCATTTATCACCGATTATATAAAAAAAGATACCAATGTCACTGTAATTCTCCCATTATATTACTGTGATGTTATTTATGTCCATTTTTTAAAAAAAGTAACAATTGTACTCGTTTTTTCGCTCACCAGTCTGCGCTGGAGCGCGATGGATGAAACGGGTTGAAATAACGTGCAACCAATAACATTTGTCATTATCGGCATAAATGATAAAAGATCATCAAATAGCTCTTTTTTTTTTTTTCTTTTTTTTTGGACCTCCGCAGATCAATGGAGATTTCCTTTCCGGCAAGCTCAACCTGCCAACTTAAAATTGTTGTTCCTATTCAAATCCCTTCTCGCCAGGTTTTCGACATTGTTACTAGCATTCCACTTCAGCAGTTGCATTTATTTATGGGAAAAAAAGGTAGTTGCAACCTGCTTATCTTGATTTTAAGGCGTTAGAACAAGATATAGTCTGTGTGCCTTTATTTGCCCAGGCATGACGAAGGTGATTTTTTTTTATCACCACCATGCTCAAATCATTATTCAAAGTTTGATGTCATTCAATAAACACACAAAATGATTTCTTCGAGTCAACCTTATGCAGCCCTTATCAGTAGGTGGTTTTCATCATTCATACATGGCAACTGACTTGATCTACATGCCTTTTACATTATAGAAGAAGATACAAAATAATGTCATCGGATTAGCAAGTCGACAATGACTGGTTTGAAGCAAGGTCGCAGGTTGTGTAAGTGTACAGTGTTGTAGGACATGGCTCAAAAGGCTCTTGCCAGTGTCGGCGTTTTAAACAAATTTCAAGGTGGAATCGCTTTTTCATTTTTTTTTTCTTTCTCTTGCTTTTTTTTTTTCTTCATCATATGGATAAATATCAGGTAAAAGATCCACTGCGACCGCCTACTAAAAAATCAACTGACATGCACTCAAACACATAGATATATATATATATATATATATATATATATTACTAACACATCATTAACCATCTTTATCTACTACTATCAGAAAATTGAAAAGCTTGGGGAAGGTAAACAACATACCTGTTTTGAATCGATATTGTAGGTGTTTGACTCTTGGATTTATTTTGCTTCTATTGTTATTCAGGTGCATACGGCATTGTCTACAAGGCTCAAAACAGGGAAACGGGTGAAGTGGTAGCACTGAAACGAATCCGATTGGACAATGAAGAAGAAGGCGTAAGTTTCATTATTCCTGTCTACCTTCACAAAATACTGTTCATATTCTTATCAATTGTTTGGTGTTGAATTATATAGGTCCCTTGTACTGCTATTCGAGAAATATCTTTACTAAAGGAGCTGAAGCATCCGAATATTGTTAGGTAAATGGCGACAAAAACACGATTGATACATGCTAAGAGTTATTCCTTTTGCTTTATACCACCTTAGATTGTATGATGTCTTGCACAAGGAAAGAAAACTGATCTTGGTGTTTGAATACTTGGATTCCGATTTGAAGAAGTTTTTAGATTCGAACGGTGGTGATATTGATGAATTGACTATCAAAGTAAGTCTTCTGAGCTCAAAGAAAGTAAAGAGCTACCTTCTTACTAACTACCACAATCTGATCTGATCTGATCTTAATTGTATCGTGCCTTTTTCTATGTTTAGCAAATGATGTACCAGCTGCTCAAAGGGATTGCATTTTGCCATGAACATCGTGTTCTCCATAGAGTAAATTAATTCAGTAAGCAACACATACCAAAGGCACATGGATTAATGGTACATATTATTTATTATATTATAGGACTTGAAGCCTCAGAACTTACTCATCAACAAGGTAAAGAACCCCTCCCCCCCCCAAAAAAAAAAAAAAAAAAAGATAGCATAGTAGCTGAACAATGTATAATGATATTCTGTCATTACAGAAAGGGGAACTGAAACTTGGTGACTTTGGGCTGGCAAGAGCGTTTGGAATTCCAGTAAGAAGTTATTCTCGAGATGTGGTGACGCTTTGGTACCGTGCACCAGACGTACTGATGGGATCAAAACAATATTCTACATCTATCGATTTATGGTCCGCTGGGTGTATTTTTGCAGGTAAAACGTTTCATTCCCACTTTCTTATATGCGTACTCACTGTTTTATTTTGTTTTAAAGAAATGGCCTCTGGTAGTCCTTTGTTTCCTGGTAGCTCTGTATCAGATCAACTGCAATGCATATTCAAATATCCTTTTTTATTATTGTTATTGTTATTATTGTTATATGATATTGACAGACGAATCATTCTATGTATACTGTTTTCCTTGACTTCTTTGAACAGTTTTAGGTACACCTACAGACGAAACATGGCCCAAAGTATCCCAAGTTCCTGAATACAAGGTAACCTTTGTCTTTTCCCTTCCTCATAAAAACTGGAAATCAGTAAAATTCAACTTTTTTTTTTCCTTTGCCATTTAGCGCGATTTTGAGATATTTGCCCCAATCTCACTGGAATCAATATTACCGAAATTGGATCCTCTCGGCATTGATTTGTTGAAGGTAAAAAGAAAAGACATACAAGGCGGGATTAGTATCATGGCTTTTAACCGTACACCATACCATACAGAAACTGTTAGAGTACCCTCCTGAGAAACGTATTACTGCAAGCAACGCTTTGCAACGTAAGTTTGTCAAAGAAAGAAAAAATACATCTTATTTACTTACTCTATCCTTTTATTTCTTTTCAAAGACCCCTATTTTGACGACCTACGGAAAAAGGAACAAGGATCTGAAAATCTGTCATCAAGATAAGCTGGAGCGCCCATATAGTCATCCCCATCCACCATTCTATAGTATACTATTAGTATTTATTATTATTATTAGCACCCATAGTTTTTTACATTATATCATGATCCTACACTGGTTTTATTATTGCATTTCTTCTATGCCCATACATTCATCCATATTCAATACAATAAAAATAAAATAAAAAAAAGACCGCAATCATAGTGTTTTCTTTCTGGTTTCAAATATCCAGTATTTTCGTTGCCTTGATATTTTTTTTTCTAGCATATATTGTACTCTGTCTGTCTCATTACCCATACATTATTACAAAACCAACAAATTACCATATACAGTAACCAACACTACATTTGATTACTTCCTAGGCACGTACCAGCTGAAGATAGCAAATAATAAATAATAATTGTTTTATTTCAATGGAAAGAAGAGTGATAGAGAGAGATGATACTAAGCTATAAAGGAATATACAAATACCATTCACTACATTTTATCACTTTCATATTTTGGAACGTATCAATTGAAGATAGCGAATAGTAAATAATATATTTTTATTTCAACAAAAAAGAACGGGAAGGGGATGGGAGAGAGAGAGAGAGAGGGATAATACTAAACTGCAAGGGAATATACAAACACCGTTCAGGAAGATGGAGTGTCGCCTATGGATTGTTTGACTTGTTGTAGCACCATATTCGTTACGACCTGGCGCAGTTCCTCTTCATCTTGGACGCCACCGTCTTGTTGAATCTTATGCATGACTTGTTCCACTTGTTGAGCGAATTCAGGTCGCAGTGTCATGTCGTCGTCAGCGTCGCTGTTGTCGTCGTTCTGAAGATATGTCAGCGCCTTGTCATTTTCATCATCATCATCATCGCTCGCTTTTTCCAGTGTTTCTCCAGTAAGTGCAGCCAAGAGCTTGGCGACATCGTCCCAACCTTCTTCGTTCGCTGTTTGTGCTGGGCTGACGCCTTCACTGTTCTTGTGATGGACATTGGCGCCATGATCGACCAGAAACTGCGCGAGATCGGCATGTTCGCAGACATATAATGGTGTATCCTTGTCGAAATCTTCAATGTTAATATCGCCGCCATGTTCTAAAAGATACTCCAAAACGTCCTTGTGATTGTAGGATACCGCTGCATGACTATAAGAAAAGAACCGTCCACAATTAGTTTGAAAGTACCAAATAGGTCTATGTTGTTATCATTTGTTCTTACAGGGCTGTATATCCAAATTCGTCTCTTTCATTGACTTGAGCGCCGCCTTCTACCAATTCCTACGATCATCAAAAAAGAAAAGTGTCAGAGTAGATCTTTAAAGAATATGTCCCTGCAAGAATCATGAATAAGGACAACACTTACTTTTACTCGTTGAAGCTGCCCATCGCCTAATGAAATAAACGTCATCAGTTCAATCTATCTTGTCGATCCGGCTGTAGTTAGAAAAAAGAACATACCTGCTGCAACCCAGAGATTGTTGTCATTAGAGGAGGCTGATTTCATTGTTGAAAAGTGGGGAAGAAAAAAAAAAATTCTCAGAAAGCAGACGCCAAATCGTGATATATTCAACCTCCGCTTATTTTTTTTTGTTTTCTTTTTGAGAAAAGGCGTGAATATCCTTATGGCTTTGAGTTTTATAATACCCCTGCGCATTTATATTGATATATCAATAACGGTTGTTTTTTATCTTTATACATACCACTGTTTTCTAGTTGCGTATGGGGTATTCTTTGAATGTACACGAGAATATTTCTTTTTATCCTTCTATAGAAGATTGTAAGACAACAGTCATGAAGGTCCTGGATGGCCGAGTGGTTAAGGCGACAGTCTTAAGTCCTGTATTGGAAGATAACTGTTGTGGAAACACGCGAGGGTTCGAACCCCTCTCCAGGAAATATTTTTGTCAATTGACCTTTTTGACGGAGATTGGAACGTACGAGCTTTGATTTCCTTAAGTGGTAGTTTCTCTTGTACTTTTTTGATCTATTGTTAACGCTGTTGCGGCTAAATTTGTGGTTTTAGTCCAACTGGATTGTGTTTTTGTAGGTTTTTTATGTTTTTCTGGGTTAAATAGGATGTCTTGAGTGATCCTTTGGTGTAGCTTTGATCGTTTGGAGCTTTGAAAAATAATTTTCTTCCTTCGGCGGAATTTGAAATATTTTGTTCCTGAATCGGACAAAAATAGATTTGATAGTAGTGAGCACCAGAACTTTTGTAGATAAAGTCCAACTGTAGAGAAAGTTTATAAAAAATAAACTTGAAAAAGTAAAATAAAATAAAAAGAAAAGTATTGACCTTTGTTGGTTCAATAAAAATAAGTGTATAACACACAGTAAAAATAAAATAAAAAGAGGACTTGTAGTCACAAAAAAATAAGAGAAAGTTTCTATATAGACGATAGAAACAAAATAAAAATAAGACAGTGATTTGGTGGTTAAAAAACCTTTGTACTGAATTTTATAAAAAAGGTTGAGATAAATATGTAAAAATAAATAACTAAAGAAAAAAATAAAATTGTTGCGGGGGAAGTGGAGGTATTTATACTAATCAAAAAAAGAGGCTAACTATATATGAGGGGGTGGTGCAGGACGACACTTGTCGACACTTGTCAACATCGGTCAGCATGAAAACCAGTCACTGCATAGCCAGAGGTCAGGGGATGGTCAGAGGCCGATCCTCGACAACGCTAAAATTGGTTATTTGGTCAGTAACTGCTGGGTTGTGTTTTTGCTTGCCAATAAACTTTTGATCATGTGTTACGGCTAATTTTGGTTGCTAGGTCGTAACTGGAGATTGTTTTTGTAGGTTTTTATTTTTTATAGAGTGAGCACCAGAACTTTTTAGGATTAAGTTCAACCGATTGTAGCTTCAAAGGCTTAAAGATAATAAAGGACTAACTTGAAAGTCCAAGTGAGGATGTATTATTTTCAAAGATGAAAATAATAAGGTCAATAAAATAAGTAGTGACTTAGATCAAGTCAAAAAAAATAAAGAGAAGCGAGATTCAGACTCAGCTGTCAAAAATATATAATAAAAATATTCCAAAGTGTGGAATAAAAGGAAGCCAACAAGTTGGGAGGTTTAAAAAAACCTTTATAATGAATTTATTAAAAAATATAAAGTGATCAAAGATAATATGTTCAAAGATAATTTTTTTTCTTTTTGATATTTTTTTTCAAGGTATTTATACTAAAATTTTTAAAGTTCAAGACATCGTGCTCGAAACAAAGACTATCGTGCACCCGAAAACCCCGCTACTCCCGTAAACCATTTTGTTTCCGTAAACCATTTTTGTTTCATCTCAAACAATTCTCAAGGTTGAGTTCAACCGTCACACATGGAATATGATGGCAATGGTGAAAAGAAACAAAGTCAAATCGTTGGGGGGATGAAGCTCTTTATAGGAAAAAAAAAAGCTCCCATCTTATACAGGCATCTGAAACTGGTTAACATTAACTGAGGAAATCGAGAAATTGCAACACCATGATGTTAACAGTATAAAAAGTGGATCGATTATGCAGACAAACTATATATATTCCAACGTGCTTCAATCATCATATTTTTATGCGCTCATCGCTGATCATTTTTTATGCATCGCTCACTATATGCCTTCCATGCACTCACCACGACCATTTCCTAAAACCATAAACAAGACAAACTAAATCTACGATATACGGAGGAAAAGGATAAGGCATATTTTATTCAAATGTAGATATAAATAATGATAACTAAACCAAACTAAAATAATTAAATAATTGTACCGTGACATTTATCTAAAGGTAAGACATTTAAGATATATATGTGGCTCAGTGGGTGAGAGTGTGAGGCTGAAGGTATCTTCTGTGATTGTTTAATCTAAGAGGGGAGGCTATTCTATGATGAGTGACAAACTATTCTAATGTGGAAGTGTTAAATAAACTAAACCGAATATTTCCATCTTAATTGCAAAGGCAACACGGGAAGAGAACCATCAATGTGGTATTGTTGTATGATATTGGTTGTTGAAAAAAAAAAGAAAGAGAAAGGGAAAAAGAGGGGAGGGTGTTCCTATTTTGTGTTATGAGAAGCTCCAAAAAAACAATTCAAATGCCGCCCACGTGGATTTTTTATTTACTCCCATGTTTTTTTTCACCCCCGCCCTTCTCTTTCCTTCTCTTTTTTTTTTTTTTTTTCTTCATTTTTTCATCATTGCTTGACTTCATTAGGGCTCTTATGGATTTAGGTTATTGTCAAATATAGTTCAGAAGGGGTTTCAGCTCAGGGATTACAAGATGCATGGGGAAATTCTTTCATTTTGGTTCTAGGATCTGAACTTTTCAGAGACATCATTAGCTTAGCTTTTGTTAGTTTGTCCATAGTTACGATCTATATCGGAATAAAGTCTACACATTTTTGTTTGCTTCAATTAAAATTATCCCATTAGCCTCTCTAATGTATTGTACAATACCCTGCTTAGCTACAATCAGCTTTTTTGATTAGTGCTGACCAACTGTTGTACTTCAATATTAGACCCTCTATTACTTATTATCGTGCTATGTACAGTATTTTAGCTCCCATTTCCTAGCCATTCCTTTAGATTAGCGTTGACCATTCTTCAAAGCCTCATTCATGGTACCTCCATTGAATCTCTTGTCATGATGAACCCCTTGTCATTGGTATTAATATCTACCAATATGCTTCAATAAAATATGTCTTTTTCTTAATATTTTGACCTATCAAATAGTAAACATATCATTGTAGTTTTTTTTTTCTTTTTTGTGAGCGTCATACCAGACACTTGTTTGCTAATTTACACACTATGACTACTTCTCCCCTCCGTGCCCTAGGAAATGATCGAGAGTCTGAGATAATTTACTTGCAAAGATAGTCATATTGTTTACTGTTCGACCAATCATGTAAATGAATCTAGGCAGTATTGTGCGTGTAGCTCCAGCTATAGAGCATCTTTCAGAGCTTTCAAGCGTATCTATGACTACTTATCTCCAGATGATAGGACGACATCTTTTCTGTCACTTGATATGAAACGTGGTCTTATCTTCACTCTACTGCCCTTGCAAATCAACATAGACCGTACCACCAGCATAATCTATACTAGACCGGACATATTGTATGTATACAGGTTGCTATTTTCTATGCATTTATTTTTGCATGTGATATAATACAAAAATATGAAGCCCAAACTAAAGTCAATTGAGAAACCAGGGGCTGGCTCTTAAGATGCAATGCGCAAAAGGGTCAATGATCACATAAGATAGAGAGTGTGATCTGATACAAACAAAAATATTTCTAAATACCAAGGGAATACATGTTATTTATAATATAAACAGACAAAGACAAATAGCTGGTAGCATCAAGTCAATCAAAAGTCGGTAAAAAAGAATTTTATTGGGATGAATATTATAGTATGATTGCATGAAAAGAGTAAGCTAATAAACAGATCAATACAAAAAAAAAAAACAATAAAAGAGAAGAGGAGAGGATGTGGTATAAAAAATAAAAGAGTACACTAAACTAAATGAATAAGCAAAAAAAAAAAAAAAAAAAGAAGAAGATGTATTGGAAGAGAGAGAGAGAGGAAGATTTTATCAAGTAAAAATAACCATAGGCGTCACGGTTTCACGAATCAAAGAGCCAAGCATATTTTCATCCTTCAAATAGTCAGTGGGGAATTCCACTAGATGGCCTTGCACATTAGCCAATTTTTTGAGAATGTCTTGTTCGGATAAGGAAGGGTCAGCCACATGCCCATGCGGGACATCGGCTAAAAATTGACGATGTTGTTGGAAAGTCGTCACTGTATCATCAGGCACACATCGGAAAAGGTCACGATAGATCAAGGTATTCGATTTTGCTGTTTGCCGCCATACATTATAATAAAAGTGGTCGCTGAGAGGATCCAGCGCACGTTTGTCATTCGAAATCAAAGGCGTTGCTGATGTTGTTGTTGTTGTGTGACCGCTGGTTCTGCTTCTATTGGGGAAATCTTCTTCATCTAGCACTTGATCAGGTCGAATCTGTTCGTATTGGTGGATTTCGTCCTCAGTTGCAATTTTGGGTTGAATCGGTCGTGTTGCTGGAGGTTGGCTGATATTGCTGTTTGGCGGTGTTGGAGCTGCATGAGGGTCCCTCAAGTATTTGTCCCAAACATCACATTCTAGTAGTCCCAAGTGTTCCTTCATCAATTGTAATCGCAGCGACAGCGCAAATTTCGATGCATTGTACTAAAAAAAATATACAGTTATTCCATGTCCTGGTTTCTCATATTCTTATGTTCATTCCAAGTATAACTGATTTCTCTTTCCTTTTCCTTTTTTTTTCTTTTCTTTTTTTACCTTCTTTCCATTCATATATGTTTCAACTAGTTCTGTATCTTCAATTAGCATGGCAACTTCTGAATCCCGGTTTCCAAGCTGAGAGCGATCGTTAATGTTTGCTGTAAATATATGATAAAAGGTAAGTTCCTTGACAATTTTTAATAGACTACTGAAATTACCTGAGCCAACTAAAACAATGCGATCGTCCACAATTAAAAGCTTGTCATGAATATAAATCAGCTCGCTGACATAATGTTGTCGGTCATCTTTGGTATCATCTTTGGCAGCATCAATATAAGCCTTGTTTTGAAGAGGATCGTTGAACACAGTGTCGGTAGCCATCATAGGTTGAGAATGAGTGGTGGATGATGTACTAACTGGAGGTGATGGGCCCGCTGATGACTGTAGATTATCTGAAGAAGCCGCTGGTGATGTGTTTTGTTGTTGTTGCTGATCTACGGCGGTACCACTATCTTTTCGGGGGTCATTGGTGGTGGTTGGCTTGTTCTTGGCCCAGTTGCGTAAACAGTACCACCCGATGTATTCGGATGGGTCAATTCCTGCCTCCACGAGTTTTTCA